TTTAAAGCATTCCTTGTATCTAGATATGTTTTCACAATGAAAATTATTATTTGATGTTTGAGTTATGCTTCTTTCCTATTTCTGTCTTCTAATCCTATCCACAGACCTATGGAGTTTAACAGTTTCATTCTTTTTTTTTTTTTTAAAGATTTTATTCATTCATTCATGAGAGACAGAGGGGGAGAGAGAGAGAGAGAGAGAGAAAGAGAAAGAAAGAAAGAGAAGCAGAGGGAGAGGCAGACTCCCAAGGAGCAGGGAGTCCGATGCGGGACTCGATCCCAGGACCCCGGGACCATGACCTGAGCCGAAGGCAGATGCTTAACCATCTGAGCCACCCAGGCGCCCAACAGTTTCATTCTTAAAAATAAAACTTAACTTAGTTGCATGCTATTAAAATTGATACTACAACTCTCACTGCAAAGTAAGTTCCACTGGATGATGTCAGGAATATGTGCTAGATTCCTGTTAGAGGAGATTTCAGTCCTTTATATAAGCTAGGAATACTTTAGATTTATCCCCATGCCTAGGAATCTGACTGTCATTGTTTCGTAACAAATTTCCAAAAAAATTTTTTTTAAAAACTTTATTTACTTTCAGAGAGGAGAGAGTGCGTGAATTTAAAGTAGCTGTGCAGTTGGGTGGTTTATCTCCAGTTACATTCACCTGGTCAGACAGACCATAAGGATGCAGGTTGTTCCAGAGACATTCCAGTTTTGCAAAGTGTATATGTGATTGAGGAAGATGGGGACGAAGGAAATAAGGGTGTTTTCAAGGGAGTTTTAAAAGACAAGGAATAGTGTAAAATATTTTCAAAAATGGTTAAAATGCAAAAAAGTTTTGATGCTTTTATAAGCTTAACTATTTAGAACACAAGTGATTCTTTGCATGTTTGGCTTTATATTTATAGTTCTTTTGGGAATGGCAAAAGTTTTTCAAAACTGTGAACTTATTTTGTTTGTAAGAAGTAGACTGATTAAAAGAAAATAACTTAGTTCCCTTGGTTATTTCTTACAAAACAAAATTCCAGACTATTTTGTTTTCCAGAGAATTTTTTGAGTAGGAAATGTCAGTAAGCTGTTTTCTTTTTTAACATATTGTGTAAGAACACATTGTTTGCTCAGATGAAAATTCCTGTTGCAATATCTTTAAAAACATCTTCAAACAATTTCATAATAACATTGTTATATGTAAGGACTCAAATGGACTCAAGTTGTTTTGGATAAAAATTATTATCTTTTTTTTTTTAAGTACATGAAATTTTTTTTTAAGATTTTATTTGTTTGACAGAGACAGAGTACAAGCAGAGAGAGGGCAGGCAGAGGGAGAGGGAGAAGCAGGTTCCCTGCTGAGCAAGGAACCTGATGCGGGACTTGATCCCAGGATCCTGGGATCATGACCTGAGCCAAAGGCAGACAACCGGCTGAGCCACTCTGGCACCCAAAAGTTTTTATTTTTTAAAGATGATACTACGGAAAAGAGTAAGCCTGGGGAAATGAGGTCAGTTATCACAGTGTTTTGCAGAGGGACAAGTTTTAGAATTTTTTCTTCATAATACACATGCCCCTTTGTGACTTGTTCATGTTTTTGCCACAAATTAATTACATTTTATTTATTGTGATATAGGTAAATAGGCTGTTCATCTCTGAAAAAAAAATTGCCTACAGAATTTGGCTTAATATGAATGTACCAGTTTTAAGTTTTTACAGAACCTAAATATGGCTTCTAGTTAAATGATTAGAAGATAGGAAATCCTACACTCCTTTATTGTATGGTCCACTTCAATATCCTCAGTTAATTTTATTAATAAAGCCCAGAAAGCATGATTTGTGGAGAACATTTACATTTTATGAACCTATTGTGATGCTCTGGTTTTAGAGATTTTCACAAAATAACTTCATTTATCTTTTTTTGTAATTGCTTGGACTATATCTTTTGAAAACATCTTCACATAAGTATGACTTAAGTTTGCAGAATCAAATTTCCAGCTTTTATGAACTCTTATGAACTCTGAGCTCCCACACTTGCTCCTGTACTTTCTTCCTCATCATTACAGCTAGTATATATATTGAGTTCATATGAAAGGTGAGATAATGTTAGTATTGTATTTTATTTTTTAAGATTTATTTATTTATTTATTTATTTATTTATTTATTTATTTATTTGGCAGAGAGAGAGAGACAGCAAGAGAGGGAACACAAGCAGGGCGAGTGGGAGAGGGAGCAGGGAGCCCCATTTGGGGCTCGATCCCAGGACCCTGGGATCATGACCCAAGCTGAAGGCAGACGCTTAACCGACTGAGCCACACAGGCGCCTCTATTAGTGTTTTATATACATTACCTTGTTTGATCTTCATAGCAACCCTTTGATATGTGTCATCATGTTATCTCTATTTTATAGGTTAAAGAAACTGATGTTTAGAGAGATTTAGAAATTTGTCCAAGCTCATAGAAGTTTGAGTTTGAAGCCAGTTCTGTTAGACTCCAAAACCTGTTTTCTTCCCACTAAGTTAGATACTGTATATCTATTTCATTTTAAGTGAAGTCCTGTGCTCATCTGGCTTCCCTGTCAGAGGAAAGAACCCTTTGGAGGACAAGGACCTTGTGTTACTCATATTTATGTCTTCAGAGCCTGGTACAAGACTCCAGAATTTTTTAAATAAGCACTGAATGAAAGACACTAACGTCATTGAAATGGTAGCAGTGAGGCACGTACCAGTGAAGTAGTTTCTCTAGTGTAGGCAGTTTACCGCTTCATATACCTCCTACCCTTTTGATGTGGTTATACACATGCATGCCCCAACACACACACATACACTCACTCTTTCATCCTTACAATCCTGTGACAGTGATAATTTGTTCTCACTTTGTAGATCAGAAAATCAAGATCTGTGGGTCCCTGGCTGGCTCAGTTGGTAGAGCATGTGACTCTTGATCTTGGGGTTGTGAGTATGAGCCCCATGTTGGGTGTAGAGATTACTTAAAAATAAAATCTAAAAAAAACAAAAACAACAAGCAAACAAAAGAAAAGATCTAGAAAAAAAAATGAGATTTGCTTAAGATCACACCACTAGTTAGTGACAAATCTGGGATACAAATCAAGATTTTTAGACTTTAAATCTTAATAATCATCTACTCCAGGCTATCCATCTGTGCTAATGGAAACCTATACTTTATTTCTTGATATGTTTATTTGCTTATTGAGAAATGATGGCAAGAAAACAAAGGTGTCCACAAATGAATTGTGTCTAAAGAAGACACCTTCTGTTGAAGTGATGAATGTATGCTCTTTGCTCAGTCTTTTTATATATAGTCTTTCACTTATTTTCCTTTACAAAGCATATATTTTGCAAGTGGTAATTATAGTTAAAATTTTAGTTAAGGAATAAAATAGTTCCAACTAACGAACTATAGGAAGACTAAATCCATGACCATATCATATTGTAATCAGCTGAATATAGGTCTAGCAGGATTCCTGGCACATTCAGAGTGTATTAAGGACTGCTTTGCAGACTTGATCAAAGTACTGTGCTTTTTCTTTCCTTTCTTTTTTTTTTTTTTTAAGATTTATTTATTTGAGGGGCGCCTGGGTGGCTCAGACATTAAGCGTCTGCCTTCGGCTCAGGTCATGATCCCAGGGTCCTGGGATCGAGCCCTACATCGGGCTCCCTGCTCCTTGGGAAGCCTGCTTCTCCCTCTCCCACTCCCCCTGCTTGTGTTCCCTCTGTCGCTGTGTCTCTCTTTGTCAAATAAATAAATAAAATCTTTAAAAAAAAAATTTGAGAGAGAGGCAGAGAATGAGCGAGCATGGGGAGGAGGGGCAGAGGGAGAGCGAGAATCAGCTCAGTCCTAGCACCCTGAGATCATGACCTGAGCTGAAATCAGGAGCCAGCCAGGCTCCCTGAAGTACTGTGCTTCTTGAGTAGAAAGATTTGCTTTACTAACACCTGAAAGAATGATAACAGTTATAGGCAATCTGGTGTTTTTGTATAGAATAATTATGTCAGCACAGTTTATATGTTGTAATACAGGGATTTAAAGTAAAAATTTATACCTATACATGTAATATGAAGCATGATATTAAGAGTACATTTACATATCTTAGACATTTATAATTTTTATTTTTTTAGGCCCAGATTTTTTTTTTCAGTAAAATTTTTTCCTAAATAAAATTGGTCTTCGATCTGTATCAACATTTTTGACATGTTTGGTAGTATAATCCATTTTTTTCTAATAATGCTAAAAGAATGGTGAAAGATTGGTAAAATTTGAGTAGTGTGTATAATATTAAATTATGACTCAGAAAAACTTCAGGGGCACCTGGGTGGCTCAGTCACTTAAGCATCCGACATTTGTCTCAGGTCATGATCTCAGGGTTGTGAGATCGAGTTCCATATTGGGCTCCATGCTGGGCGTGGAGCCTGCTTAAGATTCTCTCTCTCGGGGCACTTGGGTGGCTCAGTTGGTTAAGCATCTGCCTTCAGCTCAGGTCATGATCCTGGGGTCCTGGGATTAAGTCCCACATTGGCTCCTTGCTCAGTGGGGAGGCTGCTTCTCCCTCTGCCTGCCACTCCCCCTGCTTGTGTTCTCTCTCTCTCTCTCTCTCTGACAGAAAAGTCTTTAAAAAAAAAATAGATTCTCTCTCTCCCTCTGCCCTTCCCCCACCCCCAAAAAACTTAAGATATTATAGCTTATCAATATTTGAAGGTGCTAGTATTTTATATCCTTCTGCAGTAGACAAATTGCCTCCAAATTTTAATCTGGAAGATCACTAGAATGACTGAAAAAGGTTTACAACTACATGGCTTTTATATTTTTACTACTTCTATTAGAGTTTCTATACAAATTATTCATATCTTGATTATAAAAGAGAAGATGAAAGTGTAGACACATTGTTCAAATAGCATGCAGAATATTACTACCATGTTGTTTCTCAGTTTTATTCAGTCATAAATGCAAAGCAGAATATGTAACATGTCTTTGGATTTTATTTTGCTTTATTAGCTCCTCCAGAGTTATTGATCTATGAAATGGCAGAGAATGGAAAAAATTGTGACCAGAGACGTGTAGCAATGAACAAGGAACAATATAATGGAAACTTCACAGGTAAATTACGGTGGCTTGGATGGAGAAGATGTGCAGGTTTAAATGATATCCTTTTCATTGAGGTAAAATAGAAATATATCTAATATTTACTGTCTTTTGTTAATATAATAAGAAAATAAGATTCTTGTATGTCTTATATAAGATTACAGAAGTCCACCCTGCCCCTTGTCTGCATTTTCTTTTTCCACGGTTTCAGTTACCTGTGGCCAACTGCAGTCCAGGAACAGAATGGTCTATTTTTCAGAATGTCAGTAATAGCCTAATGCCAGGTCACAATGCCCTTATCATTCACTTCACTTCATCTCATTACATAGGCATTTTATCATATCACGTAATCTCAAGAAGGACAGTACAGTAAGACACTTTGAGAGTTACATTCACATAACTTAGTCTATTTTTATAATTGTTTTATTATTAATTACCACTGTCAATCTTGCTGCCTAATTTATAAATTAAACTTTATCACAGCTATATAGATATAGGAAAAAACATATTATATATAGGATTCAGTACTGTCTATGGCTTCAGGCATCCACTGGGGGTCTTGGAACATGTCCCCTATAGATAAGGGGCGAGTACTGTAATTATCTTTTGTTTACTCCTCATAGTAAATGAAATTATGGGCCAGCGCCTGTATGGTGAATTTTGATAGTGATAGCAGAAGCAGCCTAGTCACAGTCACATCAGCAGTGTTCTAGGTACAAGATTATTATTTGTTAATCTTACGGTGTAGTAAGTATTTATTTGGTATTGTTTGGTGCTCAGTTTTATCATGCTATTTTGTAACTTTAGAAGTAAATTATAAAGTTACTTACTACACTAGTCCTAAATACACAAATATCAAAAAAAGAATGTGATCATTGTGGGTTTATTTAAAATTTTTCATTTGCGACAAATATATATTTTCACCAAATTTGGAATTTGTGGTAAATTTCAGTATATTTGACTCTTATTCATACATTTACCCAAAAAAAAGCCCTGAAAATTGCAGCTTTTATTTACATAGATGGTTCGAGTAGGAACTTTCCTTAATGTGTTTAAAGGACAATGAAAGATTTTCCACTTCTGTTAATTGTAATGGCTTTCTTTTTGACTTCTAAATTGTTTGGCATCTCAAACATATTGCAAATAATACTCTAGCATGTTGATATCATAGACATTCTCTTATATTGGAAGAAGTGCAAGCTATCTGAAATAGTAGTTTCTCTTTCTCTTGATCACTACATTGCCTTGCAGAACACATTTTGCAGCACTTATCTGACTTTTGGTTACTCTGATTATTGACAAATTTTATATCATTTCGCCAAGAGTTTCAGGATTCAGAGATAGGCATGCATATGTCATATAGTCTCTTCATCTTAGCAGCTTTTGCATGTTATTTTTTTCTTTCCTTTCTTTCAAAAAGCATGTACATTCATATATTCTTCCCCTGCTGCCCACCCCCTTGGAATTTAAAATTAATGTTAGTATGACACATTTACTCTCCTGTACTGTGGTTTTTTGGGTTTTTTTTTTTTTTTGGCTTAATATTTCCTAGTGATTGTGCTTTAATTGTACATGAAGAACTTCTTCATTATGGCTGCTTAGTATTCCATTGTCTGAGTATACCATACTTTAATCACTCCTCTGTTTTCTGCTGTTAACATTTAAGTTGTTTATAATGTTTTGCTTAGACAAGTAACATTGTGTTGAATAAACTTGTACAAGAGACATTTCACCTCATACCTAATCATTCTTAGAAATGGGATTATTGGGTTATAGGGTATATGCATTTGTAATTTTGATAATGACCTTAATTGTACACTTACACACTTATTTAGTGTCACTCTTCTGAAAGCTTTACATACATTAACTCATTTAATCTTTGCAGTGACCCTAAAAAAAGTAAGTACTATTTTCATCTTCATTTTAGAGAAGGGAGAACTGAGACAGAAAGGTTAACTAACTTGCCCAAGGTCACATAACTTGTAGCCAAGATTTGGAACCAAATAGTTTGCCTTCCTATTTTGAACTGTAAACCACTTTGTTCTGTGATATGATACTAATTGCCCTTCATAGAAGGTGGGCTAACTTAGTATCCCAGTAGAATACAAGAAAGGAAACTTGTGTCCTGACAGTAAAAGAATTGCAAAAATAGTTCTCACATTAGAGCAGAATCACCTAGCCTGTCTAAGACTTATCATGTGAACACATTGCTTGTTTTTTGAGGTTAATATGCAAGTATCCTTCAAATGTGGGATGGAAAAGTAGATACATTTTGAAAGTGAGTGGAAAAAGTGAACATTCTGTTTAAATTTCTGCACTAATGTTTTTCAGACCCCTCTTCAATGAATGAAAAGAAGAGGAGGGATCGGGAAGAAAGGCAGAATATTGTCCTATGGAGACAGCCACTCATTACCTTGCAGTATTTTTCTCTGGAAATCCTAGTAATCTTGAAGGAATGGACCTCAAAGTAAAGAATCTTCCATTACCTTTTATATAAACCTTATTTACTAATTTTAGAAATCTTTAACATTCTCCTACTCTACCAACTGCTCTTTCAAAATGAATTAATTAACATGTTTATTTTCCTTTCTGTAGTTTGGAGAAAAGTAGATTAGGGGAACATATTGCTATTTGCTAACTGGATTATTACAGTATTATTACAGTTGACCCCTGTCTCACATTGAATCTTTTATGCAAAGGGGAACATAGGAGATGAGATTTTTTTTTCCTGGCTTTACCTCTAGGGGAAATTGGGCCTGTGTACATTAGATACTAATTCTTTAGTAGGACAGGGTTCAGAATACGTGGCACTTTTACTGATAATTTGAGCCAATGAAAAAGGACTCTGCCATGGAAATGTGTTGTATCTTTAAGTTAGTACTTATAAGCCCTGTTTCAGGTATCATAAAGAGCAAGTTGAACTTTTGCATGCCTTATCATTTTGGGCTTGCCTTTCTAAGTTATTATCTTTAATAATAGCATACGTTTTATTGTACTTACAGTTTATAAAACATTTTGTAACATTTTTCAGTTCATTTGATCCTTAAAGCAACTCTTTGAAACTAGTAAAACAAATATATGATTATAGTTGACCCTTGAACAACATGGGGATTGGGGGTGCTAACCCCCACACTGTTGAAAAATCTGTGTATAACTTGTGACTCCTCAAAAACGTAACTACTAATAGCCTACTTTTGACCGGAAGCTTTGTGTATATATTATGTACTATATTCTTATAGTAAGCTAGGGAGAAGAAAATATTAAGAAAATCATAAGGAAGAGAAAATACATTTACAGTACTATACTGTAAAAAAAATCCACATTTAGTCCTGCGCAGTTCTGACCCATGTTGTGGTCAACTGTATTATGATTTTAAAGAAGAAACAGAATCAGATTGGTTAAGTGTCTCACTCTAAGTCAATACTTAGGGACTCTGACCCAGGTCCTCTAACTTGAAGGCCAGTGCTTTTTTTCATTATATTATAATGCCTCTCCCAGTGAGAAGTTGGGATGTAAACACAATCAGTCTTTTGGGTAAGACAAAGGCTACACAGTAGGGTTTATGATAAGAAACTGGATGTTCTATACCCATGTATCTTCTCTTGACCTCCTTCCGTACCCCAAGAGACCATCGTGTTTAAGAACAGAAGAGTTCAGCCCAAAAGAACTGATCCTATAGCTGTGCTAAATAACCTAAATGCTTCAACAAGAACTTGTTTTGGGAGTGATAAATCCTGTGAGATATTTCATTTATTTTTGTTTTTAAATTGTTTTTAAGATTATGGCATCGTCAAAGCATTGTGGTGTCTTTTTTACTCCTCCTGGCTGTACTGATAGCTACATATTATGTTGAAGGAGCACATCAACAGGTAAGAGGTTCAGCAGCTTGTCTGGTCTTGTACCTTGTACCTCCCCAAACAGTTTCAAAATGGAGCTATTGTGGGTTTGATAAAGTTTCTACCCTCCACATTTTTAGACTTGGTTTTGTTTTTTAACTTTATCTCATAACTGATAGCTGTCTTTCTTTTAAGACCAAATATTAAAAATATTCTTGTGGCAGTTCGTGGCTGCTGAGCATTTATATTTGGCATATATCATTTTTATTTTCAAGGATTCAGACGTAACTTTCCTGATGATGTTTAGTCAGAATAGCATGAATCCTTTAATCAGCACCAAAGTCTTCATATTTTCTATAACACTCTCCTGTGATCCATCCAAACAGATATATTCATCCTAGATTGAAGGTAGGTTTTATATGTATAAAAAGGGAGAAGTTCATTTGCCTGTAGTCTGTAAGTACAACATAACTGAAAGGAAGATAGGATATTTTGTTAATAACTTTTGTTAAAATAGTAAAACATTAATGTATTCTAATAGGAAATGGTTCTAAAAGTGGCATTTTATTTTTTAAAGCAGTTAACCTCTAGTCACAGAGTTTTTATAGTTTTAAATGCATTTCTTTTAAATATTTTGAAGAAATCTGTGCGTGTCATTAAGAGTTTGTAAGGAACTGGTTTGATGAATTTACTTCCCAGTGTGAGAGCCTAGAATCTAGTGTCTGGAATGCCTCCAACAAGTCCATACCTCAGTGGACTTCATTCAGCTTGCTCTTGTTTAAAAATCGTTTTGGTCTTAAATATACAAAAATAATTTTATTCCATTTTTTACTTGAATAAACAAGAATATATTCCATTCACAAATATATAAATAACTGCCCCACTCTCACCACTATTTATTACAATGCTTTCTTAGAGTCTTTTTAACTTTCAGATATCTTTAAAACTTTTATTCTCATAGTTATCTTATTAGTAATGTGCATTTTTCCTATAAATGTCATTTGCAATAGTAGGATTTTAAAGGTCTAAACACAAGCTTTATTACAATTAGATTAATTTTTTGCCTCTCTGCCATCACATACAAAAAGAATTAGGTCTCTTGAAAGGGTTTTTACTCTTAATGCTTTCTTCCTACTAGAAATTTACTTTAGTTGGTTTGTTTTATTTTGATTGTAGGTGATAAATAACACATTTTTGTTAAACAAATCTGTTGGTTTTTTTTTTTCACTGTATCCTTTTTGTTTTTCAGTATGTGCAACGTATAGAGAAACAATTTCTTTTGTATGCCTACTGGATAGGCTTAGGGATTTTGTCTTCTGTTGGGCTTGGAACAGGGCTGCACACCTTCCTCCTTTATCTGGTAAGAATAACAATAAGCAAGATTGAAAGAGATGTTTTAATTGGTGCTTTTACTTCAGAAGTTAAAATTCTAAGATTTTTATTTACTTACCTTTGCATTTTAGAAGCATTCTCATCCTCAAATCAGTGTTTTAAGTTTGATTTAGAATTCTGTTTCGTTTTTCCTTTTGGGTTGAGGATTTAAAAAGAGAAGAGGGAAAAACCTTTGGGCACATGAGATTGTTTACTTAAATTAATTCAGCCAGGAAATGTTTTTTTATCCTTCCAGATTTTGGAATAATGGTTCTTTTGCTTATGCAATTGTTGTTTTAATAGTTGAAGTTCTTTAAATGTACAAAATTCCATGTAAGGCTAGAGTTAATTTGAGCAGTTTACTTTCTCTGTTAATCAGCAAATGAGATTTGGTGTCGTCCCTCATGTCCTCGAACACCACGTGTATACACCGGGATAGTCATTTTGGTGTTCTTACTGATTGTGATTAATGAAGTATTATGCATGTAGAATTAAAAGCTTTCTTAAGTCCTTTTAAATCAAAATATAAAATGTACCACTCCTAAAAATACTATTTTACTTACGAAATTAGAGAGATAAAAGGTAGGTTTTCCAAATGTACTGAAATTATAGCAGAGCTAGGGCCAGGGGATGAGTAGCAAGACATCTAGGGCACAGAATTTAAATGGCACTTTCAGGGTCATGTAAATATGGGCTTGTGAGTGAGTGTTTCATTAAATTTTGTGCCCTGGATGCCTCTCTTATTTCACTCTATTCCTGTTCCTGAGGAATTGAAAACAATTCCATATTTGAAATAGCTTGATCTTGATTGGGGAAACACAGGTGAAAAGTTGTCACAGCGGTACTGGTTGCCTAATAAGTTCAACACGGCAAACACTTCTGATCTTTATGCTTTAGTGAAGTCATTTCTGAAGCAGGGTAGATAAGTATTAATGGATGATTGTTCAGAAGGCTGCTGAATTAATGGCCTGCAGAATAATTTGAGAATTGATCTATAATTCATAACTTCTCCAAGTTTATAGGACTTTAAAATCTCAAATTTTAGAATTCTGTTTGTGATTGGTTGCTGATTTTATTCCAAATAGGGACATAAATCTCAGAGAACTACTCCATATTAGTTTTTCTTAAATAATTGCAGTTTTAGAAGTATAATGCTGTATTAGAGGTTGAGAGAGGAGGGAAAAGAAAGAATTACAGGTTATAGGTTACCTTCTCTTCTTTTCTAGACCTTTCCTCTGAGATTCCTTGGGAAAACCAGATTAAGGAATTCATTTGTAGCATTTGATTAATTTAGAAGTATCTAAAAAGCAACCCAGATAGCAGATTCTGCCGAATCTTAAAAGGGATTCTAAAGAAAATTAGAAATTGCACAATAAGTTAAAGAAATTTGAAACGAGGAAGTTTTATGTTTCCTGTTTCTTTTCCTATCCATGAGAAACCTTTATAAAATGACATTTATAAAATATCTTGATGTGAAACATTATTATTTTAGTTCCATTGATCATGTATCCAGTAAAGAATTTAGAAACATACAAATAATCATTTATTATAAAATTCATTTGAGTGAAAAGTTAAGTCTTTGCTTCCATAAATTAAGTAGTTCTGCTGGGGGATCAAAGTGCAGATTTAATGAAGTGTGGTTAGGCTTTTCACAAGTGTAGAAGGAATTCTTCAAGAGCTATTTGAAGGAACGTGTTATACTCTCATTAAAGTCAGTACTGTATGTTATACTAGTTTAGCAAGTATGAAGATTTAATCAAGGAACATCTGAAATTGTGTTGTGTTATACATAAGAGCCATATAAAAGTTTTCTGATGGGGCACCTGGGTATGGCTCCACACTGGGCATGGAGCCTGCTAAGTTTCTCTGTCCCTCTCCCTCTGCCCCTTCCTCCTTACTCACTCTCTCTCATAAATAAATAAATCTGAACAAATAAGTAAAAATTTTGTGGCATTATCACTGCTAATAATAACCTGGGGTCCAGAGTGGATCAGGCCACAAAGTAAATTTGATTTTTGTTTGTGAGTATTTAGAATTATTTCATTTAAAAAAATTTTTTTAAGATTTTATTTATTTATTTTATTTTATTTATTTATTTGAGAGGGAGAAACAGAGAGCACAAGCGGGGAGGAGAGGGAGAAGCATGCTCCCCGCTGAGCAGGGATCCCAACATGGGGCTCTATCCCAGGACCCTGGGATCATGACCTGAGCCAAAGGCAGACGCTTAACTGACTTGGCCACCCAGGCGCCCCTAGAATTATTTTAAATGTACTAAAATTAAGTACAAGTAAAATAACCAGATCCGCATTTTGAATACATGATACTGGCTGTAGTGTGGTAGATAGATTGAAAGTGGGAGAGAAAGAAGATGGGCAGTTACAATAATCCTTCTGAGAGACAGAGGCTTCCTTAGAGGTAGCAGGACGTATGGAGAGGAGGGGAGATTACAAAAAAGGACTTGCAGAGAGAAGGCAAGCAGAATGATGCCAAAAGATGGCATAAGAGTGGTTGGAGTGGTATTAGCATTGGGATGAAACAGGACAAATCTTAGAGAAATGTGACTAGTACAATCATATAAATGATTTTTTTAAAGATTTTATTTATTTGAGAGAGAGAGGAGAGCACAAGCAGGGGCAAGGGCAGAGGGAGAAGCGGGCTCTCCGCTGAGCAAGGAGCCTGATACGGGACTTGATCCCAGGACCCTGGGATCACGACCCGAGCCGAAGGCAGACGCTCAACCAACTGAGCCACCCAGGCGTCCTGTGACTAGTACAATTATAAAGATGTTGTGACTTAGTTATGTGGGAAGGAGCCAAAAATAACTGTTGGTTTTTGACTTGAGTGAGTAGATGTTGATACCATTAACTGAATAGAAAACAGTGTTGTGTTCATTTGGGTATTCAGTATGTATTATAAGTATCTAAAAAGAGAAATTTAAAAGGATGCTATAATTATATTGCAAGGTAGGTGACATTTTCACCTGATCCAAATGGGTTGCTGCTGTCAGTGATTGGACAGAAAAAAAGGGAAATTTGCAAAGGACTAAGAACTCCCCTTCCTTCCTTCCTTCCTTCCTTCCTTCCTTCCTTCCTTCCTTCCTTCCTTCTCTCTCCTCTCTCTCTTTTTCAAGAGCATGCCCGCAAGCAGGGCAGAGGGAGAGAGAGAATCTTATGCAGGCTCCATACCCAGTGCTCAATCTCATGACCCTGACTGGGGTCATGACCTGAGCCAAAACCAAGAGTTGGTTGCTTAAGCAGTGGAGCAACCCACACACCCCTCCTTCCTCCCTCCCTTCCTCCCTTCCTCCCTTCCTCCCTTCCTCCCTTCCTCCCTTCCTCCCTTCCTCCCTTCCTCCCTCCTCCCTTCCTTCCTTCCTCCCTTCCTCCCTTCCTCCCTTCCTCCCTTCCCTCTCTTCCCTCTCTTCCCCCTCTTCCCTCTCTTCCCTCTCTTCCCTCTCTTCCCTTCCCTTCCTTCCCTTCCTTCTGAGTAGCTGGCTGGCTTGCTTTGCTTGCATTCTTGCTTTATTTTTTGGACCAGTTTTAGGGTTGCAGAAAGGATAAAGTTTCCATGTACCATTTTATACACACACACACACACACACACAGCTTCCCCTGTGTTTTGTTTTTTAAATGGGGTATAATTGACATGAAATATATTAGTTTTAGATGTACAACATGATGATAGTTTCACTGTTAATAACATCTTACTTTGGTATGGTACATTTGTTACAATTGAGGAGCCAACATTGATATATTATTAACTAAAGCCAATTGTTTACATTAGAATTCATTTTTTGTTTTACAGTTCTATGGGTTTGACAAATATGTAATGTGATGTATCCTCCATTATAGTATCATATGGAATAGTTTCACTACCCTAAAAATTGCCTGTGTTCCACCTATTTATTCCTACCTTCCACTTCTCCTCTGCCCACAAACCCTTAGTAAGCACTGATCCTTTTATTGTCTCTGTAAGTTTTGGCTTTTCCAAAATGTCATATAGTTGGATTTACACATTATGTGTCTTTTTCTGCCTGGCTTCTTTCACTTAACAGTATGCATTTAAAATTCCTCCCTGCTCAGCAGGGACTTGCTTCTTCCTCTGCCCCTCCCCACCACACTCTCTCTGTCTCTCAAATAAATAAAAATCTTTAAAAAAAAAAAAAAAAGAAAGAAATTCCTCCATGTCTTTTTATGAGTTGCTTCCTCATTTCTTCTTTTTCTTTTTTTTAAGGATTTTATTTATTTATTTGACAGAGAGAGAGAGAGCACAAGCAGGGGGAGCAGCTGGTGGAGGGAGAGGGGGAAGCAGACTCCCTGCTGAGCAGGGAGCCTGACACGGGGCTCGATTCCAGGACCCTGGGATCATGACCTGAGCTGAAGGCAGACGCTTAATGACTGAGCCACCCAGGTGCCCCTACCTCATTTCTTTTTAATGCTGAATAATATTCCATTGTCTGGATGTACCCCAGAGTTTGTTTATTCATTCACTTATTGAAGGACATCACAGTTATTTCCATATTATGGCAATCATGAATAAAGCTGCTATGAACATTCATATGCAAAGTTTTTGTGTGTATATGAGTTTTCAACTCATTTGGGTAATTACCTAGGGACATGATTCGTGGATTGTGTATATTAATTACTGGTATATAGGAAAGCAGTTGACTTGTGTATTAACTTTGTGTACTGCAACCTTCCTATAACAATGTTTCAGGACTTATTTATTCTTTAGGATTTTCTACATTGAAAATCATCTCATTTGCAAATAAAGACAGTTTTACTTCTTTATCTGTATACCCTTTCATTTTCTATTCTTACTGCATTAGCTAGGTCTTCCAGTATGATATTGAATAGGAGTGATGGGGGAACATCATGCCTTGTTCCCAATCTTAGTGGGAAAGCCTCTAGTTTCTCATCATTAAATATCATGTTAGCTGTAGGTTTTTTGCAAATGTACTTTATTGAGTTGATAAAGCTCACTTCTATT